AATAAAATAATATTAAACATAAATTTAAAATTTTTTCTTATTTTTTAACTATATAATACTATTCAAAAATTCATTCTTATGAAAATAATGGTATCCAAAATGCTAAAATAAAGGACCCAATGCATTGAGTGTTTAACTAGATGCAGTAGGTTAGTAGTGCATTTAACCACATCGGCAATCACGTTTGAATTAGTCAACTATTGTAGGCGTCTAATGTGATGGCAGGTTTTCTTTCAACTAAGAGGACAACAGCGGGACCCATTCCAAATGCTCCAAAAATTAATTAATCAATTATTTTTAAAACAAGGGCGCTCAAACAAGCCAATCATGCTAAAGTTGTTCACATAATTGTCTTGTTGAATGATGATGTTTAGATTCCTCATCTAGAAGCATATTTGGTAGAGATTTTAGTTCAATTAAAATTAATTTTTTGAACATTATTTTACTATTTCAACCTTCATTTTTGAATTATTTTCTCACAAATAGGACTCACTTTATCATTAACGGTCAAAAAATCAATTAAAAAAATCTCTACCAAACAAGCACTAACATTTTGACTTGAGCGGTGGAAGACCTCCGCTAAGAAACCCCAGCGTCGCCTTAGATGTTTATTCTTTTGTAGATAGATCTCCAAAATCTCCAACACATGGAGAGTGGGAAAATTTTTCCCTCGTACACACACAGATCAGCGAAAATGAAAAACTTAAAAATGAGTAAGAAAGAGAAAAATAAAAATTTAACATCATTCAACGAATCATCAATAACTAAAAGAGAAATAGACCTCACAATACAAGAGTTTTCTCAGCTTTTACTTCTCTCTATACAAAGCTAGAATGAATAACTTACTATGTAAACTTACTCGTAAAAATATTTTTTCTCTCTCTCTCTTTTTCTCTAGACACCAATTTCTCTGTTTATAATTCATAATTAAGCCCTCATTTTTAGCCCACATTATTTTCTATTAAATTATAATTCATTTTTCTCCCTCTTTTTATCAATTATTCTTTTTTAATAAAATAATATTACATGTAAACTCAAATTTTTTATTTTTATTTTTTAAACACATATTTTTTTTTTAAAAAAATACTATTCTTTATATTATAATATGGAATAACGGGTGAACGGGTGCTAACAGCAACAAACACTCTGCTCCACGATTTGATCCTATACTGAACAATAAAGGGCAAAAAAGGCATTTGGAACAAAATGCAATTACATTTGAATTAGTCAATTATTGTGGGCATGTAAAGTGATGGCAAATTTTCAATCAAAATTGCAATAGTGGGGCCTATTTCAATGGTCCAAAAATCAATTATTGTGAAAACAAACACATCAGACAAACTTAATTATTTTGAAGTGTATTCGCATAATTGTCTTATTGAAAGGATGTTTAGATGCCTCATTTGACACGCTAACTTGAGCTTCATTGGTTAACCTCCGCTACGAAATTGACAAAATTGTAAAGAAGTTCTCAAATTTGGATTTCAGTACATTATTATCGAAAATTGTTTCACTCAATCAAAGTGAAATCACCACGTAGTTAATTTGTGAACATATTCTTATGGCTTAGGTGATAATTTAGCCTCTGTCTGGTGGCCATCTTCCGAGGAAAACTTTGTTTGAATAGTGAATTTGTGAAGAATGTGCAATTAAAAAGTATAAAAAAATTATGGATTTACATGTAAAATAAATTTTATTACGTGAATGTGCGATCGAAAATGAATATAAAAAGAGGAGGGGGGAGAGAGAGAGAGAGAGTTATGAAAGAATGGAAGACAAATAAGGGTTTTGGTGAATCAATTGCAAACATCCCGAATGTAACATCTCTATGAACTTGACATAGCAGTATCGGATTTTCTATATTGTCTTTAATTTCACTTTACATGCTCGGATTAAAAAGCCTCCAAAGAACATTATTAAGAATGCAAAAGGTTTATTTGTAAAATTCCTGCAAGGAGATGCCCTAAATGAGGTGATCGAGAATACAAAATGTTTGCTTGCCTATGGAAGGAGGATTGAGAGTCCATTTAATATATTTTGTTTCAGTCTTTATAGAATGAAGCTTTGATGGAGATTTCATTTGAACAATTCTTGATGGCTCATTTTCATGTGGATACACATTATAACGATGATCTTCCTTTATTTATTGTTTAACCGTTCACTATCACATGTTAATTCAAAGATTAAATTTATTAAATTCTCGGTTAATACCCGTCATAATAACTTTCCATTTACTGAAGAAAAGTTATCGTAGGAAACCATCCACTTCTATGATGGATGTTGGTAAGTGATTTCTATAATAAGATCAATTTTCTATAAAGCGTAAAGCCTGATAGGCGGTGGGGTTCAAGTTTCAAGATTCACAAGTTTAGACGAGGTCTCTACTTAAACATGTTCTCTTATTTTTTTTATATTATTTTAAATTTTTAATCATTGTAAAAATTACTTAATATTTAAAATAGTGCCAACCGGCATCTATTGAGAAAACGATGATTTTAGCCCACCCTAATATTTATCTCTAGTTATGCCCTGTTAGAGCTATATTCAACAATCCTCCATGCCAGGGATTTCTCCTCTACTTCCATAATATTTATTCCTAAGTATTATAATGCTTCATCTCGATCACTATATTGTCCAATTACTCTATGTACTATGTTTAATAAGATTGTCCAATAAAGTACATTATTACCTCATAAAAGTTGATGAAATATGTCATCGAAAAGTTGATAAAATTTGTAAGTTCCATGAAATATATGGTCGAAAATAAGTCTAAAAAAATGAGTTTTAGAAAATGAGACTAAACAAGACTTCATCAACAAGTCTTTTGAACGCGTTGGACATTGTTTTTTTTACAAAGTAGGTTGGCTTTACCAAGTATGAAGCTATTATGTAATTAACTTGAGTTTTGTATCTAAAAGTCTGAAATTCGTTTTATTATTATGTGGACTACTAGACAATTTAATGAATAATTAAACTATTTTTGTAGTCGACAACTAATTGTGCCAGTTATAAAGAAAGGTTGGCGACTTACATGAATAGAACAATAGATTCTGCGCTTAGGATGCGATTTTCCCTATCTTAATTCATCAAATATTTGAAAACCTCTGTAAATACTAAATAGTCATTGGTCGGCCATACACTGATTGATAACATGTAAATCAAGAAACTATTACAAACTGAGGCAATAAAATTACTAATATTGAAGTATTACAATTCTTCATTTCTAATCTTGAGTAATTTTTTCATAATGACATTTTAGATATATCAATCTTGTTTTAAAAAATATGTCTGAAAAGGAGGCCAATTATGTGTGTGATACTTAAAACTAAAATATGAAAGGATAATGCGATTTTTTAAACATGACAATGTCTCTTTTATTCTCTAAGAGATAATAATTGTATGATTGGCAAAACTTAAATATCTTTAAGTGTTATAAATTGTAAGTCATGTATAAATAATAGATAAATTACGACTAATATCTAATCATGTCCTACGTTGTACGCTGTCTAAGTGATCCAAAATGGAAAACCAATTTTATTGTTTAATATTTATAATATCAAGAAAATTATCCATAATTGCCTAATCAGAGATTAAGCAAACAGCCAAGTTGAAATAGCTCCTTTCCATAACTAATAACTGGGATAAGTCACACTTGTTTACTGGACTTTGCACTAGAATTCACTTGGTACTACCAATTTAAATTCATAAATAGGGTTTTCCAAAATTTACTTATACTCCATCAGAGTCACTTGAAGTAAGAAAAATATGCACCAAAATAATGCCCAGAACAAATAAATGCATGCGATTGTGCATGTTTATTATAGGAAATAGTTATGATTCTTGAGAAGTAGTTGGAACAATGCTAGAATTGGTAGCGAGCTCGATGGGGGATGATGGGGGATATTGGCAATATTCAAAATTACGCATTAAAATAATATTGCGTGTAAATTCAAAAAAAAATTTCTTTTAACTACACATTTTTCAAAAAATTACAATTCTTATTATAATATGAAATAACAGGGCAAACGAATGCTTAAAGCAGCAAATGAACACTCTGCTGCACCATTTGATCCTGCACTTGGCCAACAGTAAAGGGCCAAAAAGACATTTGGAACAAAATGCAATTACATTTGAATTGGTTAACTATTGATGTAAAGTGATGGCAAGTTTTCAATCAAAATGACAACAATGGAGCCCATTTCAATGCTCCAAAAATCAATTATTCTGAAAACAAACACACATCAAACAAACTTTAATTATTTTGAAGTGTATTCATGTAATTATCTTATTGAATGGATGTTTAGATTCCTCATTTGACACGCTGACTTGAGCTACGTTATTGAACCTCCACTAAGAACTTGACAAAATTGTAACAAAGTTCTCAAATTTTGATTTAAGTACAGTAATCCCAAAAATATTTTAGCTCAATCAAAGTGGAATCACCTCATAGATAATTTGCGAAAATATTCTTATGGCTTAGGAAATAATTTAGCCCTTGTCTGTTGACCATCTTTCTCGAAAAACATTGTTTTGAATAGTGAAGTTGTCAAGAATGTGCGGTCGAAAAGTAGAGAAAAATTTTGGATTTACGTTTAAAATCCTTTAGTATGTGAATGTGGGATTGAAAATGAGTGCGAGAGAGAGAGAGAGAGAGAGAGAGTTTTTAAATAATGGAAGGCAAATAAGGGTTTTATTGAATCAATTGCAAACATCCTGAAGGTAACGTTTCTAAAACTTGACATAGTAGTATCGGATTTTCTATATTGTCTTTAATCTCACTTTACATGCTAAGGATTAAAAAGGCCTCCAAAGAACATTATTAAGAATGCTAGTTTAAAGCACGGAGCATGTTATTGGAAGGTGATATTAGAGAGTATAGTGTTACAAATTGATGGGAGATATGTGAATTGAATTACGAGTACAAAATGAACTTAATATGATGAGGTAAATTTCTATATAGTGTCACTCATAAAACATAGTTATGAAACAAATGAAAAATATGAAGAAATGAAGAGAACTTTAAATGAGATATAAAGCAATTATGAAAACAAGAGTTAAGTGTATAAAGGTGCATGAACAATACCATAGCATTTTCCATAGATTTAACAGTAAATCAAAATAAAGGTACATGAACAACATACTCCTTGTGTATTTGTATATCAGTTACAGTTTCTTCTGTAGTTGGAGGGTAGTTTTAGTCTGTGTAGTATTATAGCTTTATCTGGAGGTGGAGTACAATCTTGTTCTCTGGCCGGAGTTGTAGTTTGACCCAAGGTAGAAGAAAAATCTTTAGTCCAGTACAAGCTTGCTGGTTTCTGTAGTAGTTGGGAATAAAAGCTTCAGTCTTATCAAGATATTTTTGGTCGAGGAAGTTATCTACATATGCACGGTTGAAAAAGAATTTCTGGTCTTATTAACCTGTTACATTTCAATAGCAGAGATTTTTGAACAAGAATATGAAAGAAATTTTAATGCAGACGAAAATAATAACTCAAAGCATAAGCATTTAATAATAGAATCGATATAAGGTAAACTTGAATGTTCTACATGATAGGTTGTTAAAGCTGATGAAGCAGAAAATGTTGTATCTTCTTGAATTTCTAGGTCATCATTAGTACTCCAATCTATGTTGTTGCTATCCTCTATAGATGCACTTTTATCCTAATATCAATATGTGAGGTGTAAAAAATCGCAAGCAAAGTGAAAAAGTAAAGGACAGATTGAGAATACATAGAAGAGAACGAACTACCATATTGTTAGTAGTTTTAGAAAGCAAAATATTCCTAATTTATATAACAATAAATTTAAATTCGGTTGATATAATCAATAATACAGGAGAAAATTTAAAAATATGCTTTATTTCTGTTTAGAATGGGTCACCATGAATAGCAAAGATTTAGACAAACATTCGGATATTAAGGAGGTTTCAATTTAAATCTTTTAACTAAGAAAATGTTCAAAAATTGTAGGAACCAAACCCTGAAGAACATTTTTCCATTTGATTCCACACTAAAGAGTATAACTAAGCTATCCTGGAACATAATTGATACGGTACCTCATTCATGCAGGCCTAAAATCAAACCTCAGAATAAAACAAACAAATTAGGGGAAAAAATGATTAACTGAATATTGAAGACAGAGTTCATAAATTGTAAGAAGAGAAATCAGGAAATCGGATAGAAATGAAAATTTAGATGTTAAAAAAATAATAGATGAGTTCTAACCCTTTATGCTAAAGAGAATCGAAAAAGTATACTACTACGATTTGTGTTCGAAGTAAAGATAAAATGACTGAATACGTTTAGTACATCAACAACAACCAATGATTCCCACGGGGAATCTAATTGAAATTTACTAAAGGAAGGTAAATTTCTACAAAAGGATAAAATTCTTACCTTTTCATTGAAGCAAACCAAAGAGGAAAAAAATCTCAGAGATGGATAGCAGTCAAACCTTGCACAATATCAATGAATGAACCAACATTAGTTTTCAAGTGAAAAGACCAACTGAGCCACAATTCAAAAACAAAATATTGAACAAAGATTCGAGAATATGAGAAAACAGAAATGAGGAAAAAAATCTAAGGAAAAATTATTGCACATAGATCTAAGTTTGGTATTTGGGAAACATATGCTGGTAATGCTTTTCGATATCGATGAACATCTCATTTTCAAAAGGTATTAGTAGCTTACAGTATAAAACACGTGCCATCCACCATGCTTGAAATTCTACCATATGGAATACAACCACCTGATTTTTCAAAAAGTTTTCTACGATAAACTAAAATTTTTAACTCAATTATAAAATGAAGGAGTAATTCAAAAATTCTTATTAACTCAAATCACAGCATAAGGTATTCCAAGAGGGTAGGAGCTAGCTTCGAAGGGAAACATGCTTGTAAAGGGGTCCAACCCGTCTATCATCCATAATTACAATTCCATTTGTTTCTAGGAATGGAAAATAATAGTTGAACCTGTAAGAATTTGCGAAATATAATTTTACAACTTGAAGAATGAAAGACAATATGGGAAAAAATAAGGATAATGCCCTGTGTAGTAGAAAATGATATCAATAGGACAGAGGCACCATCCTCTCCACTTTCGTTAACACATTCAATCTGCATGCCAAAGACTCTTAATTATTCTTCCCAAATTGTATGAAGGGCACAAACAAATTGAATAGATATATTACATTTTATCGAATGATTGTATGATTGTCTCATCGAGAAATCATGTTCTAACAAAAGACTAAATACCACAAAAGTGATATGAAATGAGAACATCCTGTCTTAAAAACATTTATGGAAAATTCCCTCCCTCTCATGTGCACTCACTGTAGCTTCACAATTGACATGGACCACCAAAATACCAAGCATAGGCATACTACACACAAACCGTCAGCTGAATATATATGTTTAAATAGATCAGCGAAAAATAAGTAAAGGCAAGCATACTCAAAGAGAAAATAGAACTTCCCATTTAGTCATCTATATCTATATGTAATAAACATAACTTCAGTGGAAACAATTCTTTTTTGCTTAGGAGACGGAACCCAATATAAGCTACATCAGTTTTTTATTTTTAGATCATCGAAGAACTGAAGAACACCGAACACCAAGCAAATTGTTCAAACTCCCACACCAGGCAAACCCCAATGGAATCTCTTTCAATCCTCGCAGAACCATTACAACAAAAGCAAATATCGACCCCAAAACAAACACAACAAAGCAAAGATCGAGTAGAAACATTACAAAATAAGCAAATACCCATTAAAAAATGAACAGAGTAGAACAAAAATGGAGCAAAAACTAAAGCTTAGCAGGCAGATTGAGGTAAAAGAAGAGGGACCCATGTAAATTTTCGTATAGATACACAAAAAAATGACATACCTTAGATCAACATAAACGAAGATGAATCCATGCCAATTTTCACCTACAGATGGAACGAATAACGACGTAGGGTGGGAGATTTTTCAATTTGACCTCTTAGTAGTCCTTTATATTTCTTTTTATGCAAATGTCTAGCCTTAATCAAATTTTATACTATTTTGAATATTTGAATATAAAATTATTCTATAATTTAATAAATAAGAATAATCTGCAATATTCATCTCATATTTTCTAATTAAAGTATTATATTCTTCAAATGGTAAATTTGGATTTTTTTAATCGAGATATAATATTCTTTATTTCTTCTAACATTCTTTCTAATAAATTATCTAATCTTTCAACTTAATATTCTGACATTTATCAAAATAATCATCATACAATTATTCCTGCGATTCTTTTAAGATTTTAAAAAGATTCATTCTAATTTTAACAAAAATTTAATAGTTTTACCTTAGATTTGATCTAGGCCTATATTCTTAGAATCGAGTGACCTTCGAGCTCTGAATTTACAAACTGCTTCCTTCAACGACCTCCTGCTTTCACGGAATTGTTACTATTTTAGCTGCTTGCTCTCACTGTATCGACTTCTAAAGAATAAAATTATAGACTTCTGTTAAAAAAAAACTCTCTTTTTGCTAAAATAAAAAGGAAACTTTCTATTAGATCTTTCAACAATCTATGGGAAAAAAGTTTAGAAACTCATATTGATATCAAAATATTGGGATTTTATTTCTATTGGAATTGATACAAGACTTCTATTTGGTACCAAGGAATTTCCAGAAAAACTGGTGTTGCTAACTGGAAATGATTATAAGAGTAGCTATTGCTTACAATACGAGATTTCAAGATAAGATGAGATACCTTCTATTAATGACAATGTCTCTATTTATACAAGTTTTTGAGACTCTATTACATCATTGAATACATCAGCAAGGCACACTTGTCTTTCTATTTTCTTCCTTGGACCTACATCTTCACATGTTGCTTCAACTTTTCTATCCAAAGAGCATTTTTTTCTATTATTACTCCTTTTCTTCAATGTCCTCACATGTAATAGTATTGTCGTTCATACACCTTTGTCAAAAGGTGCTTTGTCCTCTTCAATTATTTCTTCACATGCAGCTAGGGCACTCCCTTAATTGGTAGGATTCTTTTATAGTGGTAGGACATCCTAGGAATTGATGTATATCAGATCTTGTAATATAATTTTTTAAAATTTCTGATTTTCCATATCCTCCATTGGATACTAGCATTCAATTTTCGTATTGGCACAAGCACGAGAATTTTTTATCAAACAAATTTTTGGTAATGTTGTATATGGCATTTATCCCAAGTGATCCCCTATGTCTAATCCATGACTTTGTTACTGCTGAAATTTTTCTATTATTCTCTGTAACATCAATTTGGAAATTGGCTGCAACATATCCAATAGAGATTATGTGTTCAACTGGATAGTAAACAATTCCATCATATTCTGGACTGATTGAATAGAATTTCAAAAATATCTTCCTTCCTTTGGCAAATTTGGATACTTCTTTAATGAATATATCATCAAACTTTGAAATTTCAATAAAATCTTTCCCTGGATATATCGAATCCATGAATCCATAGTCTGTCATGATTTTTATGAATGAAGGGTCTCCTCCTTCCATGACGGTTATTCTGAGATAAACATTATTTTCTGGAAAAATGAAATATGAATCACTGATTTTCATTTCAGAAACAATTTTGATTATTTCAACATATTTTTCTTTCTTTGGATCTAAAGGAATTTTATCTTCTTGGTCTATGAAATTGATTATTTTGGTATCTCTTTTATCCCCATATATCATAACTTTTTTGGTTGATGATACAGAAATGGAATCTCTTTTATTATCAATTGGTATGTTGTCACGTCTGAGTCCACTGCTGTTTCCAGCTGTCTCTGTTTGGTATTGATTTGGAAAACTCATTTCTGAGCTCTTATGTATATCTGTTTCAAACAGTATATTTTTTAGTTGTGCTGCAATAGCATCAATTTGATTTTTGATTTCTATGGCATATTTATGATGTTCAGTAGTAATATTTAACAATATTTTCATATTTGAGTTGAACATTTTTGAGATCTGGGTTGCTCCAGAACTTATATCTTCAGATTCTTCTCTAAGAATTTTTGTTCTTTCTTGTATATGTAGAATGGATTGGTATAACTCCATGGCATTGGCTTTATCCATCAACAAATTCTATGTTTCTGCTGAGAAAATCTGCAAGGAAATTATTAACTCCTTTAATATGGATTATATCAAAGTTATAGAATGCTATATAAGCTTGCCATCGATGAAACCTTCTGTATTAAGGTCCTCGTGGTAACTTATTCCTGACTAATCCTGCAACTTGAGAATTATCAGTCTCAACAGTGAATTTTTTAGATAATAAGAATAATGAGAACTTTTTTATCCCTCAAATAATTGCTAGTAATTCTTTCTCATGAGTAGTATAATTTATTTCTGCTTGATTAAAGGTTCCACTTGAATATCTACAAATCTCATTAAGATCTGTGTTTAATATTGCTGCCCAATATTTATCTGAGGCATCAGTATTAACAATTAAATTATCTTTTTCATCTGGTAATCTTAATTTTGGTAAATTTTTACATTCTTCTTTTAATAATTTAACTATTTCTATATGTTCTTAATTCCATCATTTAGTATTTGTTTTTCTAAGTAATACTTGGATTTTATGCATTTTCTTAGAAAGATTTTTAATAAATCCTTCAACATAATTTAAACATCCTAAAAATCTTTGAATTTATTCTTTGGATTCTAATTTATCTGGAAAACTTTCTTATCTTTTTGGATATATGAGTTTGTAATTTTATCCCTCTTTTATCTATTGATAATCCAAGAAAGTCTATCTCTTGTTTTTCTATTATAAATTTCTTTTTAGATATTACAATTCCTTCTTTTTTACATTCATTAATAAATTGGATTAAATGATTTCTATACTCTTCTTTACTATTAGAACATATTAATATATCATCAATATAAACTATTAGAAATTTATTAAATTTTTTAAATATATTATCCATCTTTCTTTGATATATTTGTGGTGCATTTTTCAAGCCAAATGACATAACTAACCATTCATATTATCCTTGATGTGTGCTAAATGCAGTATATTATATACTATCTTCTTCCATTTTTACTTGCCAAAATCTTGATTTACAATCAAATTTAGAATAATATTGTTTTCCTCTTGCAAGATTTATTAACACTTCTTTATTTGGTAGAAAATATTCATCAAACTTAGTATATTTGTTTAATTCTTTATAATTTATAACCATCCTAACTTTTTCTCTAATTTGTTCAGAATGTTTCATAACCATAAAGGCTGGGCTACTATGAGGTTCATTACTAGGTCTAATAAGTTTTTGTTCTAACAATTCTTTTATCTGGTTTTTAAATTCTTGTGTATCTTCTATAGTACACATCATTGGTCTTACTCTTATTATAACATTTTCTATTAATTCTATTTTAGCTTTTGGGTGATGTTGTTTCCAAAATAATAATGGATTTTCTCCATAAGCTTTTTCTTGTTGTTCAATAATTTTTTCTATATTTATTTCTATTCCTGTTTTTTGAACTTTTTTATATATTATTCTTTTATTTTTTATTTCATTATGTGTGATTGGTTCTTTCTCCCATTTATCACCATGCTGGGCTGGCTGAACTCTATAAGGTTTAAATTCTCTAGAAATCTTTAGTAAATGTCCACAAGGTGTTTGCAGCATTATCATATAATTATTTTGTTTATATTATTGAAATTGTTGTATAAAGTCATTTCCTAATAATATATCACATTCTAGTTTATCATATTTATATACTTTATTTATTGTAACTTGTTTACTTCCAAAAATTATATTAACCTTATCAGCACTATTGATTATTTGAGTACTTTCTCCTGTAACTCCAGTTATTTTTATGTTACTATTATTATTCCATGATTTTATTAAATAACTTTTAAATATTGTTATATCACTTCCTGTATCTATCAAAACACAAGTTGTTTTATTTGTTTCTACAATAGTAATTTGTATATACACAGCTAATGGAAAACTTATCTAATTATTCATTTAATATTTTTTGCATAATATAATTTGTCCATTATGAACAATAAATAATCATTTTCTTTTTATACTATAATCTTCTAATCCATTTAGAAAACTTATTCCTAAAAGTATATGAGGGTTTATATCCATACTCATATCTATATAACATGATACTAAAAAATATATTCCTCTTATTTTTATTGGTACTTTAACTTCTAAATTTGTTATATGTACTTGTCTATCAAAATTTACATACTTATATGGCTCGATTTTATGAGTTATTAATCATTTATTTCTGATTGAAGCTATATGACATTCACTAGCTCCTGTTTCTATTAATATATTTGGTCCATTTATATTTTCTCTTCCATTATAATATTCTCCTTCTATTTTCATATTTTCAGCATTCCTATATAGTTTTATTTCTTTTATATAATTGGTTTCTTCTAACTGATTTTTATTACGTATTTTAAAGCTTTTTGATCTTTTGATTAATTTTCCATCCTTAAATGTTATATTATTAGAACATTCTCCTTTATTTAATTCTGTTATTTCAGGTTTATTTTTTGCTATGCTAAATTCATATTTTTTTGGAATTAAACTTATTTGTTTATTTGATTCTATTATTTTGTTAATATCTTTACATTCTTTATGAACTTCAATAGATGGTTTATTGGAATAAATATTCCCATAATTAGAATTGGTAAATGTATATAAAGCTCTATATTCTATAGTGATAATTTGATCACCTGGTTGCATAATATCATCTCTATGAAACTTGAAATGTAGTTCTAAAACTTCATTAAAATTTATATCTTTTAATGATATACAATATTTTGGGTAACATGTAAATATGATTTTTTGATATGCTAAATTTTCTTCTATTATTCCTAAATGACTATCTTCT